AACAACAAGTTGCGTAATTAGTGACAACCCCTATAAAAGACAGCTGTGACAAATGTTTGTCTCAGTGCAATGGCTTATCTTGCGTTATTGGAAGACTTGGCAAACAATGCTCCGCAGAGAACGAGTTTTCAAAGACCGTGAGAGCACAGAGAGCACAGAATGGCTTCTCAGTCGGTACTAGTGATGTTTGGTTCTTGAACGAATCGTTCGGTTCTCAGGGTTCTCAGGAAGTAACCGGTCGAGCCGGTTCACAAATTGAACTGAATCGAACATTAGTCATGGTTGACAGCTGTTAATGCACAATTACCATTTTAGATCGACCAACTGTACTGTATTAGATTTCTATTCAAACTGAAAGCATAAATGTAGGCTACCCGCTATCGTTTTCAAAGCACAATGCAAAACTGTGATATTTCATTCACTGACGCCAATTTGCTGATGTTGCTGATGCTCTACAACAGTGATGTTCGGTTCTTGAACGAATCGTTCTTTTGAGCCGGTGTAACCGTTTTAACCGGTCGAGCCGGTTCACAAATCGAACTGAATCGAACTTGAATCTTTTTGAGCCGGTTCAATGAGCCGATCTATCCGAAAAGAACCGGCTCGCGGAAATGAATCCGAGGACTCAACAAGAACCGAATGAGCCGTGGCGAAGTTTGCCGAGGATTACCGAAGATTCTGATGAGTGAGTTGACAATACTGTGCAAGCCTGAGGCGCGTACTGGAAATATCCTTATTATGACTGTTATTAAAACCTGCAAAAACCTTTCTGTTGAGTGATGTAAATAAATTTTGCAATAGTTTATTGTGCATGCATATATTTAAAGTTGCTTAAGCGAAATCAAGGAGTTTATAAGACTATAGTGTAGAATATAAGGCGTTTTTCACTTCCAGCCTTCATGAACAATAATATATAGATTATAAGTGATTAAATACAAGATTAATAGTAGTTATTAAGATTGATGTTGTTTGGAATTGGTAAAATGTGCTTGGAAAAAAATATAATCAGAATATCAACTTACATAATAATTATGCATGAACTGTATTTTTCCTCTTCTGCTGCCGAGGTAATGCAAGAAATGTTGTGAATGAGAATCAATCAGAATTTAGCAGCCTCTTCTCTGATTGGCTGGAATTATGGCATATTGTAACACTGGGTTGTGTTGAGAAAGCCAGCCGTTGGCATTTAGAGAGCACTGAGGGCAGGCATCAAGGGAGCAAGCTACTGAAACGTTGCACGCGCAAAAGAGAAGGTCTGCACAAATCCAAAAACGTATTTTAAATGCAAAATTGATTTTCATGCGCTCGAAATACTTTTTTCTTTGCGAAACGAACATTATCTCAACAAAACTCAGATCACACGTGTGCAAAATGCACTTTTGTGCGCTCAAAATATGATCTTTTGCACGCAGAATTGTGGCAGAGATCTAAGCCTATAATGGCACGGGCGCACCGTTTTGTTTACTACACACATACAAAATCACGGATGATGCTCACACAATATATATCTCGATGCTCGCGGTGTTTTCAGCTTATGCCGTCTCACTATATGATGATATGAACACGAATGTCATCTCCAGCTGCTCTGAGAGTCACTTCATTAGCATTTTACCGTTTCACTTGAGAAAACTACCGTCATATCACATACACAGCAACTGTATTTAAAAAAGGACCCTATACAAAAAAAAAGAATAGGTTTAAAATACAGGCATGTGGTTCTTAATTTCTTTTTATTCACCATTTGTAAACTCATGTTTACTGTTCATTTGTTAGAAATATCAATAGCATTTGTATTAAAACTATATTCACTGAATGTAATCAAAAAATCGAGAATCGAATCGAATCGAGAGCTTGCAAATCGAAATCGAATCGAATTGGGACATCTGAATCGATACCCAGCCCTACCTGAGAGTCCTTTCTATTCTCAGCTTATTTACCTATTTCTCATGAAAAAAAGTAATGTGTCAGGCAGTGAGTCGAAGGTGAAGGAGGTTTGAAATGTTCATGCAACCATGTGATAAGTCTAGTCTAAGTCAGTTGGCTTTAGAAAGCCAGTGTTACAAGACTCAGAATTACTCAAACTAAGATGCTGCATTATCTAAAACACATTGCTAAGCAAAATATAGAATTTAGTTGTCAACACATGCATAAAGGACACATTATTTTTCCTTTTTCAGAGACACCTTCCAGATCAGAAGAAAGTAGAAAGGGTAAGTGTGAAGAATGGAGTGAACCTCCTTAAAGCATATCATGTCAAGTGATTTTTATTGTCATTTCTCTCGTGTATTGCGAGAAAAAAAAAAAACACGGACTCTGGGAGTACAGTGCAGAAACATTTAACATATAGGCTCTTTTCCAAAGCCTGCATTAGTTAGATTCCTTTCTCTCTTCTGCCTCCTAAGAAACCTTTTTAAAGGTTATGGTACATCACAAGTGATCAATCTGGAATGCTCTACATAGGCAGCATCTCAGTCATGTGACCTTTGCATGTTCCTAGGCAACCAGCGCATGCTCCTCAGGAACAGATCAAGGTTTTCATATTGAATTTCAGACATGACATGGATGAAACCGTTTATGATTTTGTGAATCATCTTTGTGATAATAGACCAGATCAAAAATTAAAATCAAAGAGTAGCACAGAGAACACAGAGTTAAGGCCTGAGGTTAATCACTGCCCTTGAACAAACAAACAAACAAAAAAATAGATACAGCACAGATATATTGGTGGCAAATGTTGTTATTGTTTGAATATATTGTTCAGATACTTATATTTATAAATAATACTCATCTTGACGCCATCCCAGCAAAGGATATATTCAATGGTTCCATAGAAATTTTCTTAGGAGACAGAATATTTTAGATACCTACCTTTTGGAACGACCTTTACATAGTGCACATACAGTGCCTTAGAATCCTGCCTCTGAAAGCAGCTCACTTTTGGAACAGATCCATATTGTAACGGGGCTGACGAGACGTGAGACGTGTGGATCCATCTGCAGGCTTTATTAAAGAGACGTGGTAAACAGGCAGGGTCAAACAATGGCAAACAGGTATATGGCGGGCAAAACACAAGAATAGTCCCAGGGCTAGCGTAGGTCACCGATCGGCAGACAGAATCACAGGGGCGAGACGAGAGGGAAAAATCCAGAAAAACAGGCAAAGATCAGAAACCGTGAAAACAGGCAAGGCAAGGCAAAAACAAGGAAAACTCAGAGACTCGGAATGGGGTACGGGCTAAACAATACTCAGCCGAGAAAGGTGGTTAGAGTGGGTGTTATATAGTGAGTGAGGTGATTAGAAACAGCTGTGTGCAATGAGTGCAATCAGTGCAGTGTGCAAATCGTGCAAAGAATGATGGGATATGTAGTCCGGGGTGCTATGCAACAGTTTGTGTTGTGCGAGAGTCAATGTAATGGAAAGGGTGACCTCTGGTGGTGAATAAACGGAAGTCCATGGACCGAATTCGTGACACATATTATTTACTTACAAGACCAAAAATTATTTCTCATAATAATACTGGACCAACTTCCTTCACAATACTGGTTACTCTTTTTAAGACACTTTCATGCCAAATGCGAAAAAGTTAACGAATCACAGACAACTGGTCATTTTTCAAAATGAATATGCGTCATGATGATAGAAAAGCAAATTTATCGCAAGAGAAACTATAAATATAGATATAGAACAGGGATGGGAAACATTGGTCCTGGAGAGCCAATGTAGAGTTTAGTTCCATTCCTAATCAAACACACCTGTCTGTAAAAAAAAACTCTGGACAACAGTGGTCCTCCAAGAACAGAGTTGCCCATCCCTGATATAGAACATGCATTTTGACTGTCTCTAAGAACACTCTTTATATATATGTAGTAGTAGTACCTACTCTGGCAAATCTGTCTAGCATGGCAGCGAACCCCTTAAAGCCTATGTTTTCGCCAAATTCAAGAATTGCCAATAAATGTATTTTCAAAAGTGGTCCTGACTGAACTAAATGCTAGGGAATACAACCAAGACCTAACAAAGTACAATGGGATTCAAGGGCTAAATGAAGGAAACAAGGAACACCTGGAGACAATCAAGGAACTAATCAACAAATAAACTACAACCTGACTACAACATTTAAAAAAGGAAGCTAACAGACCAAAATTTCATCATAAAAGTCCCCCGCCCACCCCCCCTATCCTTTTCCAAAATGTACAACATTTAAGTAAAATCTTGTTTTTTTCTCTCTCTCCATATCCTTACTACACAGAAACATAATACCAAGAGTGGTCCTGGATGTGGCTGGAAAAAGCCAAGGAAAGACGTTGCCAAACTGACCATTGATCTTTACAAAAACCACCCACAGGATTTTATTGGCTGCCTAAATGTGCATGCAACCTTGTATGGAATGTACTCTGTTTCATATGATTTGCAGTGCTATAAGGCAAAAAGAATGCTAAGGTAAGTGTGTTTGTGCATGTGTGTCATTAGAAGCTCTAGTCTGTAGTTTAAGATAGGGAGAGAAAGAAATAATATAATAATATAACAATTAAAGTATGTAAGCCAGCACAGGCCATTGGCCAGGACTCCCTGGAAGAAGAGATTTTTTTTTTTATGTCAATGGAACCTTCCTGGAAAAATAAAGCATAAATAAATGAGATAATATCAACATTAACAAAAACACTTTATCGAGATCGCTATTTTATTCATGATTGCAACAGTAGTTCGAGCTGCCAAACAAACTTGTGAGATCAATTAATTAAAATAAATGTAAACTAAAAACATTTAACCAAACTAAATTCATAATGTTAAAAAGTTATTCTATCACTTATAATCATTTCATGTTGTTTTTGTACCTATTCACTCATCTGGTATATAAATACAGTCTTGTACAAAGTGTATGTATAAAGTGCAGTCAATAATAAATTATACAAAACTACAGATCATAAATTATTTTTGAAAAAGGTAATTTACATTAATATATTATAGAAAGTAAACATAAAAGGCTTATGTCTTACTGATCTTCCTTTCTCTCCGCTAAAAGGGAAGCCTTAAAATGGACTCTCTTCACTATGCAGACTACTGGCCATGTTTTAGTAGGAACTTCATGTTATATTCAGCATCTTATTGATGAGGACGAGAAAATGGAGGCACAACTGATATCGCCTGCATGTATCATCAAGCAGTTAGAACATTAAATTATGGTGTTTCACGGCTTGGGCAAACTTACAAGAGAGCACTGCTTGTAGACTTAATGCTTGATAAGAAGCATATTTGTGAGTTATTTCCTTCTGTGCGAACAGTAAAATGTACAGTTAAACTGTGCTTATAATTTTATATTTTTCTCCTGATATCTCCTGTATTTACATACAAGTTCTTAATTAAACATTTCATGTGTTAAAATTAGAGTTGTCAAAGTTAACGATGTTAACACATAAATAACTAAACGTTTCATGTTATTTAATTTAATTTGGCTTTAAATTATAATTGCCATCGTCTCAGAATTGTTAACCCAACTCTTGCGTATACTGTGTTTTATTTTGTTGCATTTAAAAAGTAATGAATCTAACAATGTAACTAAACTACAATAAATCAATATATTAGTTGTTTAATTGTTTTAGTCAATTGACAGCCCTATTAAAACTTTTTAACCTTTTCACCTTGTTAATCTTTGTCTAAAATTGCAGAGAATATTGCATGTTCTTTAACAATGTTAACAGAATAAAATTACTTTTGTGTGTACAATCTACAAATCCCCCACAATGCAGAATAAAATTGCACAGCAATGAAGGGGTAAACTCTAAAACATCTAGAGTGCAAAATCAACTCACCAACTCACACACGCGTGGGCACACACTTGTACACACACACACACACACCTATGAACTGGTGTGACTGTAACACTGCAACTATGTAAAATAAAATCAATAATTCAACTACAATGCAGTAAAAAAGTGGACAGCAAGGAAGGTGTTACACTTTAAAACATCAAGAGTATAAAACAGATACATCCACTCACACTTACTTACACACTCTCACAGACACACACATACAGAATTATACATACTCAAATGAATTGGTATGGCTATAACCATATAGCCAAAATGAGTCAGAAGACTGAAATAAGAGGTTAAAATCAGATCAGACCCAGAAGGATTAAGCTCTGATAAAGCATTCCTGTTAATTTTTGTCACATTTTTATAGAGTTTTAATGTTTTGTGTAACAAAATGCTTTCTGTGTTCAGGTTTGAATGTAGTAATAATAATGCAAAAACCTACACTTCAGATCAACATTTAAAACAAAACAAAAAGAAATATATATATAAACCTTGACAAAAAGAAGTCTTTGAGAATGCCTTAATATACATTTAAGTCTTTGAGAATGCCTTATATACATTTAAATCCACAACCTAATAAAAGTAAACAATTATGTATAAAACAACTAGGGAATTCACAAGCCTCTCTATAGAGCCCTATACAGGAATGTAGTGGTTACGCCATGAAATTACAGGTTTTTCTTTTTTGGCTCTCACCAGGAGGTGCTATTCTGCCTTCAAAATTGGATTTTAAAGGCCTAGTCTTTATTTTAATCTGAAATACTGCATTAATTGAAAATTAATTTGAAAAAATGTTGTACTATTTTCAATGGGAAAAATTGATCATAATTATTGCATAGATATTAATTAGTACTATGAAATTCTCTCAAAATACAAAAGAAAAAATATTATTGAACACAAATATATTAGATTGATTTTACTAAAGAAAAAAAAAGTTACATTTCATGTGTCCGGTCACTTTTGACCGTGAAGACCATGAGTGTGACCCCCAAATGAGGAGCGCACAGCAACTGACCTGGCTCTGCGTGCTTCAAAGGCCACTGCACAGGCAATTGGCAAGGCCATGGCCAACCTGGTGGTGCTGGAACACCAACTTTGGTTGAACTTAACAAAGTTCAACCAAACTTCGTTAAGTCTTCGATGGTCTTATTATGGAAAGATACTAACCTCTGTGGCTCTACTATTAGAGAAAACATACTGGTCAACTTGGATCACATGTGCCTTAATGTTTTAATTACATATTTTAAATAGCAAATTCTGGACATCATAACATATTTAAAGAATGCTGTGAATTATAATTTGCAGTTACTTTGCCAATAAGTCATGAAATACATGACTTATCAAAGTATTTTAAATAGTACATAATTGGAAAGTATTTGGTTATCTTATAACCCAGTAGTTCTCAATCCTTTCTGGGCCAGTGCCCCTCTATTCATAAACCAGGTCCCTTATTTCCCAGGGGGCAAAGAAGCCACGTGAATATATATTATATATGAATGTTAAAGAAATGCTATTAGACATTTGACATTAAAACTTTAATTAGGTAGCTTATCACAACAGAAAAAAAAAGAGTAACACAACCAAGCCCCGGCCGCCACCTCATATTTTGCGTATGCCGTAGGTGGGAATTATTTAAATGAGTGATATGTATTCTTGGAAGAAAACTCAAGACTATGATCACAGCATCTGAGGGAGTTCAGAAACAGTGCTTATAGGATAGAACAGGTATAAAAGCATAATAGGTCCCCTTGGACAAACAGCGTATGCTGTTCTGTGTCAGCCGCACCACATGGATACGCTGTTTTCGTTCAAATCAAAGCGTAAATAAACGTAGAAAACGTATCCGTGTGGTGTGGCTGATACATACAAGTAAAACAGCATATGCAGTTTACGTTCAGTGAATACTCTCCAAAATGGTGCTATGGTGACACAGAGGAGACGAATTGTTGAATAATGTTGTTATTTTTGTTTTCTTTGCATACGAAAAGTATTCTCGTCGCTTCATAAAATTCAGATTGAACCACTGATGGCAGATCAAAATAATATTCAAAAATAAAAATAATATTCAAGTAAAGTACAGATACTCAAAAAGTGTACTTAAGTACAGTACTCAAGTAAATGTACTTCGTTACTGTCCACCTCTGGGCTGTGAAGAGACTTTCAACCAGTATAACAAAAATGTTCATGAAAAACATTGCCCAATCAAAAGTGTACCTCCCAGCAGGCAATAAAACACAATGCATTTGAATTATAACGTTTGAATTTGAATTACATTTGAATGATAATTAATATGGCAACCTGTCCAACCATTAAGAAAGTCAAAATATTTTACATTCTCCATATCTAACAATTATGTCTTCATGTTTATTCTCATTGTTCATTCATGTTCATTCCAGTTTACTAAAGTTAACTAAAATGTGTTTCCCACAATTTCACTTATTCAGTTGGGTGTCAAGACAGATTGCACTTGGTAGGTCTACAAGTTTAGCCCAACACCTCTCTGTCATGTAAAATTATGTTGTGTAGCCTACCCCTAGTTATAGCTTTGCTTTTTTACTAAGCCTTTTACTTAGACTGGTGGTCTATCAGTATAGTGATTTTGTGTTGACACTTGATCAAGGATGTCTTGCTGGTTAGGCGAATTAAGAAGCAAATTAAGAGCTAGTGGAGACTGGGGACATCATGGTGAAGACCAGCCTCCACAGCACAACATTCAGCAGGGCACGTAGATATGGAACTGAACTATAGGTGTGAAAGGAAGAGCAACCAAACGAAGTTCCAAACTTATCACAAAAGTCTTGGACGATTATCTTGTGGATTTCTCACCGAAACGTGCACACTGGTTTCTTGACCGCCGGATGACGCTCATTGCACGGGACTCATGCTCCAGTGGCGAGTGTTATTATCCAGTCCCAGCACAAGGACACTTCAGTGACGTCACCTCGAGCGAGAAGGAAGCGGAGCGCTCGCTGGAAGCTGTCACACAGTAGTTGTGGCGAAAGCAAGAGAAAACCTTTCCGCACGCGCGCACCCAACTGTTGCGCTACCCGGACAAACGACACGGCAGAAAAACAACGTTATATTTATCTGACAGCAACTTCCACATACTATACGGATAATTATTCTCTATTGTTTCTGCAATGGCTGATATCATACAAAGCAACGAGCAGTCCTCATCTGACGTTGCAAATCGATTCGCCCGTAAAGGTGCTTTGAGGCAGAAAAACGTCCATGAAGTGAAAAACCACAAATTTATTGCGAGGTTTTTCAAGCAGCCGACTTTCTGCAGTCACTGCACTGACTTTATTTGGTGAGTAGATCATTTCACACACGAATTATTGCAATATTGGTATAAGTTTAAAGATTATTAGTGTTACTGTAGACCTTGCAGCTGGCCTGTTACCAGGAGTACACCTTGGAACAGATACCGGTTTAAGAATTTAGAAACTCACTGTTTCCATTTCAGCTGTGTTCAGAACGCACATGAATAAAACACATGTTTAGGGTTTATTGGACTGTAAGACAGAACTCTTGTTTCACAAGACTCACGCGCTTTAACTTGCCTTCGTAAAAGAAATGTATTTTGTAATTAAAGCTAAAGTTGCTTAAGTTTCGGATTACTGCCATATTCTGCATGCCTCACGTTTACTGGGCTTGCCATGATTTGGGCGTGATCGGTTTGTCCAGGCTTACAGTGGGGCATTTAGCTGCTCAGTCAAGTCATTGCTTCACACGTGTTGCTAGTTCATTTAGTAACCTATACAATTTAAAATAGGAATTAGGGGTTCAGATATGCAGTTCTGCTTTAATGATCAAATTTATGGCCACTGTGAAAGGGCATGCCTTTTTATGTTTTTCCTATATGTGTGCATTGATACAAATCAAACATTAGATAATATAACTGTCCATGTACTTTTTTAATTAAGGGAATGCATGTTCAGTGGAAGAGAACTGATAGCTAAAAGCCCATTAAAGGATTTAGAGAGGCAGATCTCTAATGCATTGTTTCTCTCTCTCTCTCTTTATCAGGGGGTTTGGGAAGCAAGGATTTCAGTGCCAAGGTAAGCAGCCATAGATGGATTTGCATGTCCTGCTTATTCTCTGAACAGTCACTCTTATTGATCCTAACTTAAAGAGATAATGCCGTGGTCCTCAACACAAGACATCATCTTGAAGCAGTTTCCTTTTCACTCATGAACAGCTCAGTTCAGTGCCACAGAACTAGCAAATGTTGCAGATTGTAGTTGTAGTTAGTAGTCACTGTTTGTGGTGATTGAGGCTGAAATTAGCAGGGAAAATGTGAGCTATAATGTCTCTCTTATAAGCATCTCTTAGCTGGCCTTGAGCTAAATAACTCTTGTCTTAAAGACAAAAACCCAGTAGCTGTTTGGTACCTCAGTGAAAAGCCTCACACACAGAGGGGCAGTTCATCTACGGAAGCTACTTATAAGAACCACCTATTTTGAGTAGCATGCCCTTTTAAATTGAATGGATTGTTTGTTTGTTTTTTGGAATTTTTGCCTATATTTCGCATTTAATGTGCAGTGACATTTGCTGTTGCTTTGAAAAATTTCCAGTAGGAATTTGCACGATCAGTTTCCCGTGAGGGCAAGAAAGCACCATGCAGATTTCAAAATGGTCACACAAATTTGCTACACTGACCAACAAAAAAAGCTGATTCGTTTGAAAGTGACTTATGTGTGTGTTGTTCTTAATACTTTACATCTCAACCATGTTGTCTTTTTGAATGCGCAATGTCGCTGAAATTTAAATCTGAAATTTAAATTAAATGCTAATATATAGAAGGAGCATACTATACACACAAATATGGACCTCATTTCCACCTGTATTTATCGCTGAACATTTGTGATTAGACCACCAAAAATCCATCTACCAGGTGTAAACGAGGCATTGGTATGTTAGTCCAGTTAGTCCATGTTATTTCAGTCAGTCTAAAGCTTTTACATGACATTTTAAAAGAACTCTTGCTTTAGTGTGACTGCAGTGAAACTTTTAAAGTGCATTTAAATATATAAATTTACTATTGTAACATTCTGAGCATTAAGGCCCATGTATACTGAAGTTATTTTTCCATGTTCTGCTCCAAGCCTTTACAAATATACTTTAATGAAGGTGAGTGTGAATGGTTATGTTCACTGTATACTCACTAACTAGCGGACCCTTCTGTTTGAATCAATATGAAGGCCAGAACATGAGAAAAAAATTCTAAAAGTCTTTCAAAGGCTACTGATTTTAACTGTATATACTTTGGTCAGCGTTTTGCTCAACTGATAATGACCCAGATAATTAATATATTTTAAGTCATGCAAATGATAAGGATAAGAATAAGATTATCATGAATGTATTACTCTTCTCTTGGGCCAGGTGCTGTTAGCAACCTAAGTTGCCAGTGCCCTCATAATTCTGGTGCTTTGGTTGTAGCCATCTCTAGATGTGTGGAGCATTATCCTCAGGAGTCCACATTTCACCTGAAAGCTAAGCTCTTGACATAAGATCATCAGCTGTGATTCAGCTGCCAATACTTGCTTGGCAAAACTCATTTCGATTCCATCCCCCTGCCCCTGCAGGTCTCTTTTCACATTGTTTGAATTATCAGTGTGAGTAACACTGGCAATAGCGCCAAATATTTAACTTAAAATGCAAAGAGTAACATGTGTTCTTCTGCTGCAAAAGACAGAAAGAAGGTGAGCTGCTCATTCAAGCTATTTTTCCCAGAGACATATCCAAATGACAAATGTGTATTCCATTCTGCTTGCAGGGCATCAGCCCCAATTGTCATTGGACCAGCGTTAATAGTGGTTCTGCAGATTATACAGATGGAGTCCATATGAACCATATACCAATCTTTATTTTTAAGTAAACTCAAGAGCCGTTCCCACGTCCAGACGCAGAATAAAGCTTTCATACTAAAAAGAAATTAAATCTGATGTCAAAAACACGTTTTATAACTTGGGTAAAAACTGGTTAAACTGGACATGGACTTCTGTGTTGCTTTGATGTGTTCTGATGGTTTCTTCATATTGATTACAATATTGCACTAAAGAAGCTTTCATTGGAAAGCTACTCTGTTTGTGGTGTTCTGCAGAGGTAAACTGAAAGCAAAGACAGCTTCAGGTTTAAGACAGGTGGAAAAAGATTTGTTCCAACTCTCCAATTATTAGTACTATGACATTGCTAGCAGACGTCTTTCTCAGTCCCTCTATCTCTCTCTTTCTTTTTCACTCTTATTTAAAGGTCCCATATTTTACACCTTTCTGGAGTTTTATTTTAGGTTTTGATGTCCTTAAGAATATATATTTGCGGTATAAGTACCAAAAACCATCTCAATATATTTTTACAGCTCCTTTCTCAGGAGCTCTGCTGAGAACAGGTCGATTTTGGCCTGTCTAATTAATATTCATGAGCCTCTCTTCTGATTGGCCTGTTGTTTTCTGAGTGACGCATGGCCAGGCCAACCACAGATAACTAGGGTCAGCCGACGTCACAGCGCTAGCTGGAGGAAGCAAAACAAAGGGGAAACTGGAGGCGGCCCATTCAAACCAGCGCAGATTCGGCTACATAAGGAGCTTAAAATATCATCTTGTTGTGATGTTGGGTGCCAGAATCGACATAATACAGCCTCAAATTAGAAATTTGAAGCGGTGACTGTGTAGTTCTGACGTCAACTTTTTAAGGAAGTCACAACAGTTCGTGAAAAATCACAGCTACTTTAAGCAGGCTGTGTGAATTTTACTGTGGACTGACTGTTTTGAAACGTATATGGTAGTTACATAGCACCTAGACCTCAGTTATCATGAAAAAAGCCAGGAAATTTCAGTTTTGACAATATGGGACCTTTAAGGGAACGTGGTTTTAAATAATGAGCATCAGGATTAACACAAATACTGTAAATGTATGCAGTGTATAAGGTCTATGTTTTATGAATTCTATGAACAATGAAAATTCTGTTTTGTAGGTCTGGTTTGGGTCTAGCTTTTATCTGCATCTTGGAGGGAGAACTTGTTTGCGCTCTCATTTTCTCACGTTCATGGCTGTTGCTGGTTATAAAATCAGAGCTGTTTAGCAATTGTCAAAGTAAACAAAAAAGTTAAATGCAAGAGTCTAAACCATATTTGTCAAAAACTAGATGCTTTGCTGTAATAATAGAATAGGGTGAATGTCAAATAAGTGTCCAAGATAAAGAAAAGGAAAATATCATTCTAGAAATGTAGTTTAAAATGCATGTCCTAAGTTCCTAAAAATTAATTTTTTTGTATCCGTGTTGGTTTTAATGGCTTTGAAAACTTTTACTATTTTCTCAAAAATGTGTTATAAAGTAAAAAGTTATTTTCCACACATCTGCACTGTAAAAAAATTAAGTAAAATTTACAGTAAAAAACTGGCAGCTGTGGTTGCCGGAATTTTACCGTAAAAAATACGGTAGCAACGTTTTAGGTTTTACGGTTTTAACTTAAATTTACAGTTAAATACCGTAATTTCATTAACTGATATAATGTTAATATACCAACCTATTGAAGTACTGAAATCTGTTTTGTACCTTTGTAATACATTGATAACCACCAAATGCAGGTGGTGATGAGAAAGTCACATGATGAACCAAAGCCCATCACAAGCAGCTTTTAAATAATAACATATATAGAAGGTGCACAGTGTCATTCACACAAACGCTAAACACCATCATGGTAACACACATGAAACTGAAATAATGCAATAAACATTCATTTAACAACATTAGGTGTAACACAACCCTAATATACAAAACTGATGAGAAAAAACTAAGAAGAAACATAGTTATTTCAACAAAAAAAAACATCAAATTTGAAATGTAACGCAGGGAATTCTGGGAATGACAATTTACGGTTATTCACTGTAAATTATACAGTATTTTTCCCTTCCAAAAACGGTATACTACCGTAAAATGTATGTCCAATACATGTAATGTCCAATACAGTTTTCCACCGTATAAAGTAGGGGAATTTACCGTTAACCATTTAACAGGTTTTTACTGTAGCATTTTTACAGTCTTTTACCGTTAAATTCACAGTCATTTTTTACAGTGTGGATTAGGCCTACTTAATATATTTTTCAGTATACGTATATTACAAATGTCATGAATTGTGTAAGGAATAGTTGACGACGGGCCATTGAATTATTAGAAAATAATGCACACCCGAGGCGGTGATACCGTTACACCTTGGGTGTGCATTATTTTCTGGTCAGGTTTTTGTCATTAAAACACTCTTGTGGGTAGGATTAATTTCCTATGTGTCTCATCCCACACCTCTGTTGCTAAATCCAAAACGTCATTTTAGACCTAAATGGAGACTTGAGCAGTTGATAGGAGAATGCAGTTATTAATTCAAATTCAGTTATTAGAGAGGTAGAGAGAGAGCGAGAGAGAGAGAAATCTCAAGTTATTGTTTTTAAACATTATGTTCATATTTTCATGTAATAACTTGTGTAATTCATGTGACTCACTGTGATTCAAATATTATTTTTAGTAGTCGCCTTCTTTTCAAATAGTTAGTTATTAAATCCTTGGCTCCGTAAACGCTGCAGGTGTCACAATGGTCACAGATATGAAGGTGTACCTACACCAAGCTGAGTGCTCAAAAAAAAAAAGAAACCTTTCTTGCTCACAGATAACAGAATGTCTGAGTGGGTGAGTTGTTTAGGTTGTAATTAGTCCATCTATTTCCCCAGCCTGACCCATTATTGGCCAATTTCCAGAATATTCACAAAAATGGACAGCCAAATAAGACAGTCCTAGAAAAGTGGAGTCATTGCTTCCTCTCATGTGACTTTTCCCTAGTTATCCACAATTACCCCCATCAAACGCATGCCATGCCATGCTATGCCATTGGGCTCTTGTACAACTTACAGAGCTGAAGGGAGATAAGACCGATTCTTGCCTCCCTCTGAAACTTTACCTGCCTGTGTCACTGTTTGACACTCTTACCTTAAAAAATGAGTGATTTATATACAGCTGATCTCATAATTTGAGCCAGCACTGGGTCTGAGCCAACTCCACTCTGATGAC